GTCGTCAAGCACAAGCAGGGGATTGCCTGCATCTTCTTTGTCTGCTGCATCCCAGTCAACTTCGTCGTCTACCGCTGCATCGGCCAGAGTTGTCTCTAATCGGCTGAGGATGTTGGAATCAGTTGATTCTTCGTCTTCAACCTCTTGAAGATCATGTTCAACATCGGATAAAACGTCTTCGGAAGGGGCCGTTGCCACATCGGGTACTTCAAGTACTGGTCCGTCACCGGCATGTGCGTCGTCAGGTTCTTCTTCTTCGACTACGGTTGTACATACTTCAGGGAATCGACCTCGATTGGCTGTCTTGATCTTGCGGGGTGCAGCAGTCTTGAGGCCTAAGGCGGCTAGACCAGCTCCTACGATAAGCGCAAGCTTATGGCAGAAACAGAAGGCATGCATCTTTTCGGGATTCCAAGTGTAATTTGAATTCGGGCCACAATGGTCAATGAATTGCCTGTGCATTTCATTGGCCATTGTTTTATTATTTGATCCAGAGTCGGTGGTCTGGCTCAGCAAGTGAAAACGAAAAAAAAAACCAAGTCAGCCTAAAATAAATACTACAAAACATAAAAGAGAGAAAGAAAACTCATCTTATCAGCGAGCTGGTGTTTGATCAAAACGTTGGCAAGAGGCTCAGCCAACCAGACACCTCGGTGTTCCCACGCGACAACCTTCAGCGTGAGGTGACGAGATACAAACTTCCACATGTGATCTATATAAGTTACATTGGCCCCGATGAAGCCATGCCGATTCCCTTTTGAAGTCCATACATCGTGTTGCATCGAAAATTTAGAGGTCAAGCCCTGCAATTGTAAAAGATCATGGTTAGTCAACAGGATAATAGTTGAACAAGAGTGGAAAGATTCTCGAATCTCACCTGCAATTCATTGATTACTTGTTTCTTCATAGACAAGTTGAGACGTTTGGCCTCGAGAGCGGCCCAGTGTCTTCCATATAGCTTTGCTTCAGGTCTAACATATTGGATTGATGCTCGAAGCCACGGATCGGCCAGTCGTGACCAAGGCAGCGCTTGTCGGAGCAACCAGACACACATACCTTGATTAAATGTCAGGTTATCAAATTTAGAAACTTTCGTGGTTGAGACAAAAGCATCCAAAGGACCATTGGTCTTCTTGCGCTTAGCTTCTTCTTGAGCAAGAATCTCGGCAACTGAAGGAGGGATATCCAGTCCCTGCTCTCGAGCTCGAAGACGTCCGGGGCAGCCAGTAATGGATCGACCATCCTGAGTTGATCCATCTCGGTGGGCTTTGAGATTGGCAGTAGGATTACTGTAACTGATTCTTACTGGGCGAGTTTCGTTACGGCTACAAAATAAACAAGGATAACCTAACGGTCTCTTGCTTTTATCCTAGACAGGTAAAAATGTCCATAAGTAATTCAACACGAGGGTACTTTAAAATTGAGGTGATGATAACTCACATCGTCAGGTTTGCTGTGAAACGGGGGTCCATAGTATGCCAGCAGGGAGTCAGTCTGCTCAGCCTCCTCGATGTCGATGTGTTTTCGTTTTCGCACTTTTCCATTTTCTTCATCCGAGTCAGCTCGGATGACTCCTTTGGTGACCTGCTTAGAAGAGAACTGGAAGACGTGTGAATCAGTGTCAGGAATCATTGAGTCATTTATGTAATCTTAACCAAA